ATCGTGGTCCTATTTAGAAGAGGGCTGATTAGACGAGGGGCCAACGTAGTGGATGCCCATAATTTTGCAACAGAGGTTACCCATTGAACGAATGCCTCCAAGATAGTATTTTCATTGCTTACAAGTCATGTTTTGCCGTTATGCCTCGGGACAGGAAGTGAACAACAAAATACTTAGGATCGGGGAAGTTTTTGGCCAACGCATAATGCATGGCATCACATTAACTCTCTTACATAGTACGCCAACCGTTTGTGACTCTCCACTGACACTCTCATATTTGAGAAGGGACAAAATGACGGCTGATGCGTGGCGAAAGCGCGCTGGATTTAATTTTGCCAAACATAAGAACTCTGGAAACCAACCCTCAATAGAGGACTTGGACTTTATGGAACGCGCGTCTGCCATCCGTGAGAGAGATTTGCTCCCATAGCTGTATAGTCTCGTCGGGTGCTGGCCAAGCCGCGCCGATATAAAGTACGCGTGACTGAAGTAAAGTATTTAGATGCTACGGAACTTGTCTTAAAGTGTATTTCCGCGAGAAGGATGTGGCTCCTCGGACAGTGTCATAGTTGACACTACATAGTGCGACTATCGTGGGTCGAGTACTTCTCATTTTTACTATAATGTTAAAAAAAACCACAGTAAAACTAAGTACAAACAAAGTACAATAAAACCGATAAAAAATCATGAACTCTAGACTCAAATAAGGTTTTGCTGTATATTCGTACATTAGCGGGAAGAGTTGGACCCAGTGGGCAACCCTGTCCCGTCCCGTTGCGGCGCTCCTGTGGGAGATGGGGGGTAACAATTAATGCTGCTATCGCAGGTGCGTGGAGTGAGGGAGAGGAGTCAAATGAGGGCATTAGGGTAGGGCGGGAGAATCGTAGGGCAACTGACTGACCGATTAAGAAGAGGGTAGCTGACGAGGAGCGGAGATACATGATGGTGGAGAGAATATACAGACATGATGATGACGATGTTTAGGGCAGAGGAGAGGAGAGACAGAGCGAGAGAACGATTAGAGGAGGGAGGCGACGGCGATAATGGGGCAGATGAGAAGGGCTAGAGGGTGGGACGCGGGAAGCGTCGTAAGTAGCGCTCGCGCAGAGGTATCGCGAGATGCTATGTACATGGTGTAATGGAGTAGCCAGTGCAGGATATGGCCGCTAGAGGGAGAAAGCAGATCGCGGGAGTCTTAAAGGTGAAACAGATTGCCAGAAGACGATGGACGAGTATTCGAGAGATGATGATGAGAGAGAGAGCCCATGGTGTGGGTAGCGCGAAAATTAGAGAGCTATGAAACACACAGAGAACGCCTGTGAGCGCTCTTGTTGTTATCTGGCGCCTTCACTGTTGCTACGGTTAATTAGATTTTCGTAACACCCCTTTTAAAGTCGTGGTAGTGACACCTTTGTTAGGTGCAGATATGCGTCGATACGCGCTAGTCGCGTACTACATCATTGGCTACGCGACACTATAACATAGGTGGAGAAATCTACGTGCGGCATAACTACCTTTGTCTAATCTCCATTGAATGTTTTCTAAAACTCACACATTAGTCCTGCTGCTGACTTCTGTGATAACTGACTGTTGATGGATCCGAGCGTTAGATGATCTCTGGTCCTGATTGGAGAAATAGAGGCTTTGAGTTGATCTGTTGATAACAAAAATTATTTGTTGCTTATAAGTAAATATTATAGATAAGAATAAATTATATTGTGTAGATGAAATAGTGTTGGCCATTAATTGGAAACATTTTCAGTCGTATGACGGCATTTGTGAAAAGATAAAGAATAGGTCATAAATTAACAAGAAGCCTAGGTGGTCAGATATAGATACGATCAGATCGCTGTCACTTCGCACTCACGCAGATCCGGTAATGTGAAGATCCGTTTGCCTCATTTCTCGAGGGCACTCATTTCTAGTGTCCGGCTATATATAGGTGATTTTGATAGATTATGATTTTCTCGCCATGAACTCTATGACAACAACTGTGACGGCATTGAGGCGTCCAGGCAATCCATCGTTTAACCCTCCTTCTTAAGGCGTCAAAAACGTTATCAACCAACTTACTCTTCGTCACGTCAGTGAAGCCACATTTCGATGCCGTCCATTCAATAAGCTGATAAAAATGGTAGGTCAGCGCTGAAAACACAAAAGTCAGTTTCACGTGTCCATTAGGCCATGTCCTCAGGAAAATGTCCTCATATCTGACCCTATTCCCACTGCCCTCCTTGACTGTGACCTCAAATTTTTGCACTGACGTGATGGGTTTTCCTGCCATGCACACGTAACACGTAATATTAAGAGATTAGGTCGAGCATTGAAATTGTGCACGCAATTCCGTATTTCCTCCTATCCTTAAGTTAAAGGGGAAATATCTCCCCCTCTGTTTACACATTCTTTGACCTTCGACACCTCGACCCAAATTTGGTTCATCCCGAGGCCTTTTCACGATCCCCCCCGAGTCCCGCAATATCGCTGACTACTCAAGCGCGTTAGATTTGTGGCCGCCCCCCGCCCCCCCCCCCCCCCCCCCCCCCCCCCCCCCCCCCCCCCGCCCCCCCGCCCCCCCCCAAACTGTTGACGCCACGCGACGGACGGCACGGATGCACGCCACCGATCATGCATTCTACAAGCTACATCTGACTCACGTCAGTATGAGCTAAAAGAGGGGGTGAGATACACGCAACAAGGAGCCGTAGGGTGTGAGGGAGGGAACGAGAGGGGTAAAAGCTAGACCGAATTAGCCAATCTTTAAGACGTTAAATCAAAACAATTTCTTTATTATCCATACATACAAACCACAATCGCACGTCACTCGCGCCATCTGCCTTCGCTGCTGCTGCCTTCTACTGCCACCCACGCAGTCACTACTACATGTTTTACATCGCCGTAAACTCTCACTCACTGAGCACTGTCATGAATCGTAACATAACCCTCATTCACCCACCTCAGCACAGCTCGAAGCGTAGTGAGAGGTCTCTCAGCGTCTCTCATCGTTGTTCGGTCGCAGGTTTTCACGTGCCATTGTCTCTCGGCATCGATTGCTTCACTCGATCGCGACCACTATATTCTAGCGGCCGCGGTCGTTGGAGTCTGTCTATTCTTCGTGCAGAAAAAATACATGCGCACACGAACCCGAACGTGTGCACTCTCGCACACATGGACTCTCTCTCTCTCTCTCTCTCTTTCCGAACGGAACTTCCCCCAACGACAGTTTTCTCGTCGCTGCTTAAGGCCACGCCACACCAGGACGATTTTTACAACGATTGAAAACGATGAACGATGAACGATGAAACGATGTAGGTGTGCGGGGTCATTGCTAGACGATTTTAGTTTTAGTCGGACGATAATTTTCCAAATCAAACATGTTGATTTTGCGAACGATTATTTGGACGGCCGATTGTTGTGGTGTGCGCGTGACCTTGGAAGATTTGAACAGCCGTGGTGCGAGTGGCTGTGTAAATTTTCCACACTCAATTCGCATTGCTTTCGCTTGATTGTTCGCTTGGACGGCATTGTATTTTTTTCTCAGCTCGATATTCAGGCCCCGTTGCACACCATCGTTTCATCGTTTCATCGTTCTCAATCGTTTCATCGTTTGTAAAAATCGTCTGGTGTGCGTGAGGATGTGGGCTTTACAAGGATGATAACGCGTCTCACCTCGAGAGCATGAGGAAATTACTTTAAAGCAAAGAGAGACAACGACGACGGAAAGGAATCTCACCTTTCTTTCCCTTCTTCCTCTTCCTACTTCCCCTCCCTGCTACCTCTCCCTCCTTCCTCTTTCCCTTCCCTCCTTCCTTGCCCTGCTACCTCTTCCCTCCTTCCTTGCCCTGCTACCCCTTCCTCTTTCCCTTCCCTCCTTCCTTGCCCTGCTACCTCTCCCTCCTTCCTCTTTCCTCTCCCTGCTAGCTCTTCCTGCGGAAGCTCCTGCGGGCAGGCTGCTTCCTCTCCTTCGGCGCGGGGACCACCGCCGGCTCCTCCTCCGTCTCCCGCTCCTCCTCGATCTGATCCTCCAGCGGAGGGCCGACGGGCGCGGCGGCGGCTTCCTTCGACGTCGATGGCAGTTTGATGCTGATGAGCGCTGGGGCAGCATCCGCTGCTGCTGGTGCCTGGAAGCGTGTCGTAACACGCAAGTTTCTTAATTAATATCATTAACTAACTAGCTGATGGTGGCGGCGGCGGTGCTTGGGAACGTGTCGTAGCACGCAAGTTTCTTAATTAATATCATTAACTAGCTGATGGTGGCGGCGGCGGTGCCTGGGAACGTGTCGTAACACGCGCAGCTGAGGTGACAGAATAGAGCTACACCAGGGTGCGCTAGCTGGTGCCGTCTACGCGTGTTAACTATGCGTGCATTCGCTTTCCTGCTGGCAAAAAATCGAGTTAATTAAATAAACTTAATAGAGTTTGTGAGGTTGAGTGTCGCGTACGTTGGCGCGTGTTGCACTTACCGGCGTAGCTGCAGCTGCGGTCGCCTCTGCCGCCCCCGCGTCTTGTTGTTGCTCACCGGCTGTCTTCTTTGCATCAGTCTCCATCTCCTCCTCCTCTTCCTGCTTCACCCCTTCCTGCGCCTCCTCCACCTCCTCCCCCGTCCTAGCCAGGCAGAATGAGAAAAGAAAGATGAAGGCAATGCACGATGCGCGACGATGGAGCGATTTCGAACGGCGGAGTAAACGCAGAAAATCGACGCGATTTCGGGTCGTTGCGCTTCGACTGTCGTGCGCGCGGAACAAGAAGGCGCTACAAACATGAGCTAAACCTCACTACGCAGACGCATCGCTGACACGACGGAAAAAACCTATCCAAACACGAACGCGACAACACTCGACCTGTCCCCGCGGACGGGTAGCTCTACCAGGGAGTCTACCCAATCAGATTTGCGTTACGGACGTTCTAAAAATGCGGCTTAGCAACTAAGTGTGGCGACGTCGACGACGCGGCGAAACGTACGCGCGAAAGAGGCGCGTACAAACCGACCGAGCTCGATCAATCTAAGGGGGGTACGCGCTCTCATGTCGCTCAAACGGATGCATCCGTGGAATCTCGTCGCAAGGAAAGACACGGCTAGACAGCGAGCGCACCTTCGCCTCCTGCTTCACGAGGACGACGTCGGCTGCCGACACCGCCACGACTCCCGGCAGCTTCACGTCAGCGGCGCCCTCTGTTGCCATGACGACGACGAGCTTCTCCGGGTGCGGTTCGACCTTGACCGGCTCCTTCTCTAGAACCTTGACGATGTCCTTGTTGAGGTGGTCTCGCTGAATAACAGACATGAGGACAATGTAGACGTAGACATAGGTGATAGACGACACCACACCCCCTCTATCCTGACTCCTTCCTCGTCCACTTACGATTTAACTCTCTAACATTATTTACTCACTAACCTAATTCTCTGACATAATTTCCTCCCTAATATTGTGAATTGAATTTAAATTATTATTTTATTTCCTCCCTAAAGTTAAAGAGAGAGATTAGCCTAGAATTCAAGAGTATATTATACCTGTTGCATAAGAAATTTTATATACCTACATATTTGTTATGGTGACACCTAGACACATCTATGATGACACCTGCATGTACCTGGCAGTGACACCAGCACGTACCTGGGGGTGACACCTGTACATACCTGGTGGTCGGTGAATGACTGGACGTGGCGCAGCAGCGGCAGCCGCACCTCAGGGCTGATCTTGAACACGTCAGCTAGCTGCTCTGCGGGCAGTTCGAGCCGCACCTGCAGCGACTGTGGCATCGTCTGCTGGCAGCACTTTACGAATCCCACCCACACCTTCTTCTGCTTCCACACCTGTACAACAATATGAACTGTTATCACCTCACTAACCCTAACACTAACCCTTTTAGAGGCGCCGAACCTTAACGAAACCCGCTGCTCACTCGCCGAACCCCTCAAATTTGACAAAAACAAATAAATTTTAATCAATTTTAGGTAATCCAAAAATAAAACATATTACATCAACATTCAAGACTATATTTGGAAAGCGTGCAAAGAATGAACAAAAATAAAAAATCCAAAATATTCGGGACCAATCGTCAGGGGTTCGCAAACAGGGTCCTCCGAACAACGCATTTTAAAAATTTTGCTAGTACCATTGCATTGCATTGAATATAAAGCGGGCCCGTGACTAGGCTTTTATATCAGACGCTGGCATGGGCTACCTGACGCTAAACACGAATAAATAAAGAATATCGCAGGCATTCGTATGAGTTTACCGCAAATCCCGCCACAGAATCGTGAGGGGTTAGGACATGACTTCTTTAACCGTTTTTAAAGAGGCGCCCGAACCCTAACACACAGAAACCCGCTGCTCACGTCACTCGAACCCCTCAATTTGACAACAAACAAAATCATTTAATCAATTTTAGTATACCCCTTAGCTATAATTTTTCTTCTTTTGTTTTATTCCTTTGGCACGCTTTCCAAAAATAAGTATTTGAATGTTGATGGCAAAATGTTTTAATTTTTGGATTAACCAACCAACGATGGATTAAAATTGATTTGTTTTGCGTCAAATTTGAAGGGGTTCGGTGAGTGGAGCAGCGGGTTCGGAGATAAAGGGTGACGCAAGCTTGGGGAGGGAACAAGGCATACCTATATAATACTCGAGTGGGGTGCGGATAAATAGGCCTATACACTCATACAGTAATAAACATAATTAATTAATTAATATCTAAATATAATAAAATGAACTTATAGTTAGACGGTACAACATGAATACATAGGGATAGGTCAAAATAAGTATCCTGAAACTCATCTCGTAGTTGTGTACTGAGATTCGCAAGAGCACTTAAAATGACTGCGATGAGGTTTTATGTGAAGGCGCTTCTGAAGCTCGCTAGTTGGGCAAGCCCACGGCAAAACATATCTGGCATATCCAGCCAGCCTATGAGTATTATTCTCCACTCGCTAGTGGTGTAAACAGACATATTTTGGACAACCATAAAAATTGTTATTCCATGTTATATTTGTTTTGCAGATTAGTCAAATCTAGAGTTTGTGTTCTTTGTGACAAACTATAGGCCAAGACAAACACTCGCAAGCGACTAGCCGAACCGATCGTAACAACAAACGACTTTCAGAAAGTTAGAAAGCTATATGTTCTTCTCCTATGAGCCGTTCAACACGACGTGACGAGAACCGACGACAACCTGCGACAGAGACAAAAATAATTAGCAACCGTTTCTATTTCCAAGCGACTGTTCGCGGGCATCGATCATTATGATGTCTGCGTCTGTGTAATTTGCTTAGGCGTTGTGTGTATACAGTATAGTCCAGAAAGTAGCTCTATAACAGTGCTAGACTCGCTTGCCACAGCGTCCTGGTAACGTCTGCGCTCTTATTAGAATTATCTAAACAGATGGCATCATCAAAAAGATCAGTAAAAACATGGGGAACTGCAATGTCCAGCACAGGCACTTCTGGCCGTTTTCTATTTACTCCTGCAGTCCACTACTGATGGTAATCGAGATTGTACCGGTTGTCTAAACCAAAGTAATTAATAAAACTCCAAAACGTTGTACTAATAGGCTATAGAGTTAGCACGGCCACCAATTTGGAAACTGCTCTCCTGTGTTCAAGTTCTTAGTGCATCGTGTTAAAGTAACATTGAATCTCGAGGATTTTTAATACATAATGTAAAAGTTCAGATATACTCAAGCGGGACACACGAGGTGGACAGCAAGTATGCGAGCCACGATGCTGACCACACAGACATTACCCGCAGCTAACGCTCTGAGTCTGAATGCTCTCTTTTATATAACAGTTGAGAGCTCTCCTCATAACTGTTTCTGCAGGCTAGTAGATTAAGCAACGTGGGCAGGTCTGGTTGATTCCATTGGTCATTATGTTGACATGTATGTTATGTGGCTGATAGCTTTTTCAGGTGGTCCGTCAGTGCTGTAGTTCAGCTAGCATCTGCTTCATGGCGTTTTCTGAATTAAGGCGAATGACGAACGACGCATCGAATGAAGGAGTAGTTTGTTGTTAGTAGTAATAGTAGTAGTTAAGAGTAAGTAGGAGGAGGAGTGAGGAAGATGAGGAGGAGGAGAGAAACAAATCGAGTATAAACAACAAGTCTTAAACAAGCCACTGTCATGTCGAATAAGTTTCGCAGAGATGTATTTTTAACCGATTGGTACAAATGGCCACTGTGAATATAAAAGGTGGTCCTGTAATCCATGTAATACCCAAATGTTTGTTATAAATATTTTTAACGAATGCCATCATACAAAAATAAGATTAAATATAATGTATATCATAATATAATAATATATATATGGTATATATATATATATATATAAATAATATAAGAGTGCGCACATACAGAAATAAACCAATGCAGGGTGGGATGACATTATTAGCCATGATAGCAACCATATCATAGCTAAGCAAGTAAATTTACCAAGGCTAAAAGTTGCTTATCATAGATAATACAGCAGTAATTTAAACAAAAAATTTTATTGCATGGAAACATCCAAGGACGAGAAAATACTTCTTCACCCACCTATCTCTTCCACAAGCTGTGCCAACCATCTTTCTTGACCAACCCCGCACCACACACGCGCCTCCCCAGCGCAACCACAGCCAGCCCACGAGGACACATGCCGAACCTCCTCCAAAACCAGCGGACATCTGAAAGTAGTCCCTCAGCCTCCCCCAAAAAGCCATATATTATCACACAGGAACACGAACTATTCCTCTTCTGTGTCACTTGATGAAAAGTTTAAGGTGACAGGCAGCAGCTTGCCCAGGATGATAACAAAAAACTTCGAGTCATCAAACAGTAAAGTGACGAGAAAGATTTCAAAAAGCAATACTGCCTCACTGCATGTGAACTCCAAAGCACAGCAAATAAGTAAAGGAAGTGTATTGATTTGTACTGTACTAAAGTAAATTTAAAAAAGTCTTGACAAATGAGACATACATGATGAAGAATGTACATTATTGAAATAGCATATCATACAAGTAATGTTTGTACATGTATACGTCTGTTTTTTCTGCGCTTCGCTCCAGCATTATGTTATCGATCTGTCTGCAAGGTACTTGGTAGATGTATTCTATACTTAGGGATGCAATTTATTTGAAATTAATTTTGTTTCGTTTTAATATTATTTAAGTGCCATGTCAACACCGGACACGACACGACAAAACGACAGGCAGCACAGACGTTTTCAAAAGTCGCGCATTTTCTTAATTGACAATGCGGGCGCAAAATTTTATATTAAACTGCGCATAAAATCATTATGACCGTGTTGAGTGCCTGTCGTTTTGTTGTTTCGAAGTGTTGTTGTCGTGTCCGGGTGACATGCCTTAAGAATTTATGGATAAAAATCGAAATAACATGCATGTAGTAGGAATTATCATTATAAAACTTGATTAAGAAATAAGATGAATTTGTGGATGTGATCTGTATGGATATGATTGTGGATTAGATACTATGGAAATAAGTATTGGTTTGTTTTTCATATAAATTTGTCTGTATCACGTTTATTGAGTTATGGATAAGATATTCTGTATTGTTAGATTACCCAACAGCCATGTATACTCAAAATAATCTGAGTGATTGTTAATTAATATCTCATGAGAAGATTGAATGTATACAATAATTATTACTAGAATTCATTTATGGTGGTTTGTACAGGACTTTGATTGTGTGTGTTTTGTTGCGTGTGCGTGTGCGTGTGCGTGTGTGTGTGTGTGTTGGCGCGCGTGCGTGCGTGCTGATGGCATGCTGGTCGTGTGTAGTGATGTACCCGGTGCTGTCTCGTTTTGCTGGACCGTGATCTGGTGTATTTGTGGGGTAGAAAAGGACTCCCCACCGAAAGGACGCCCCCAAAAACTCTCCCACCGGAGACCTCCCTTCGGAAGCAACCTGGCTACGGGCTACGAACATCATGCTGGGAGGGAAAGTAGGAAGAGTGTGAGGACGGTCGTCGTCCCGCCTCCCCAGGTTTCTCGTCTAGCATGTGATGGTCACACGATCACCCAATCCACCCAAATCCATGCCAAAATCCACCCCCAAATCCACCAAATCCACACCCCGCAAATCCACCCAAATCACCCCAACACCACCAATATCCACCCCCAAATCAACAATCCACAAACATTTACTCGACAGCTCCTACTCAAATTTACCAATAATGATAGCAAATCCACTGAATTCCACACCAATACTTCTACACTTCTGCCACCAATTACCGTGACTTCTGGATTGTTAGGGTTAAGGGTTACGGGTACGTTATGGGTTAGCGGTTAGGGTAACTACGAATTCACTGAGATTCAGTGAATTTCAGTGGATTTGCCATCATTTTGGTAAAATTGAAATAGCGTTCGAGTACAATTTTCAGTGGATTTGGGGTGGATGGTGGCTTGGGGGGTGGATTGGTGATTTGGGGGTGGATTTTGGGATTTGGGGGTGGATTGGGGGTGGATTTGTGGATTGGTTGATTTGGGGGTGGATTATGGGTGGAATCGTGTAACCGCGCATGTGAAAGGTAGTGTCCCCGTAAGATGGAGCTCCGGCAAGTCGATGATAACAGAACACAGAATTATAAAAGCTACCGTCATCCTATTACACAACAGAATATACGTACAGGTGACTAGTCACTCCCACAGTCAAACAACAAGCACTTCACGATAACTAACAGATGTCTACACGTTGTAACGTTCGCAATCGCGTGACACGTAAATATAATATCAAGTCGTACCGTAACCCCGTAGGGTTCGGAAGAACTCGCAAGGTGATGGCGGAAGTGGAAAGGCAAGGCGTTAGAAGGGATAGGCTGTAG